TATCGGATATCGGCCAAAATTCCAATATCGTGCATCCCTACCTAAAGATGATGGTACCCAAACTGTCTGTACCAGACCAGAACCTACAGACAACTAAAGGACCTAGGATACCTTTGCCTGGATGACCCAGAATGTTTCCGGTTTAAAGGACTGGATCTTATCATGGCGCTCCACACAGAATCCGAGCGTTGGGGTCTGACACGGTCCAAACGAGATTAGAGACGAGTCCAAGTTCCCATATTTGCCCTGGAAATATTTGGTCTGGAACCTGAAAGCAGACAGGAACAGAGTGAGAAACAAGACCTTAGAGGATCTAACCGCTGCTCTCCTCAGAATCCCACAGCCTCCAGCCGGTGTTCCGTCAGATGAGCATACCCGGTCAGACCAGCACACCCATACCCGTCTATCCCTTTAGTTTTGTACTAAAAATAAACTTTAAACTACCTCAAGGGGCATGTATTACGTATGGCGTATGGCGATCTGACCTTAAATAGTTTTTTTTGTCCATGACTAAAGGGATGCACGCTTGTGAGGTGGTTTAAAGTCTATTTTTCATACAAAACTAAAGGGATAAACTCAAATCTGACGTCTTGCGCATTCGATTGACTATGGGTATGCTGGTCTGACGGGGTATGCTCATCTGACAGAACACCGGGCCTGGGAGCAGAACTGGACCAATCGAGGAGCTGATGGGTACTCTCTGAAAAACAGATAATACAAGTTTGATTGTTTTTCTTTAAACAAATATAGATATTACAGAGCAGATTTAGAATTTGCATGAACATAAAATCTAAGCTGCTTTGGATGATGTCATCAGGTCAAAGGTTGAGTCGGATCAGCCCACCGTGTGAAGGCACAGCCGATCCGCAGGTCCAGCTCCTGGCGGGCGTCCACCGACAGCGCCTCGTTCTTGTTGGGTTCCCCCAGGCGGTTCATGGCGTTCCAGATGTCGGTGTCGGTTATGGAGCTGAACTTGGCCCGGAAAACGCTCTGCTCTCTGCCGCCGCCTTTATTCATGACCGGCTGGATGGCATCCAGAACCTGGGGTTCAAAGCGGTGAAGTTGGTAAACGGACGTCGGTTTTCTGACTCCAAACAAACATTTATCCTTTGGTGCAAAGAGGTCAGACTTAGAGTACCTCGAAACAGATGTTTTCGCCTTCTTTGTCACAGTCCAACCATAAAACCACACAGTCGCAGCCTCGGGCCTCCACCTGCAGGAACTTCACCATGTTCAGCTTAGGGTTGGCCTCCTTCTTCTCTGTGGGAGCTTTACTGAACAGTTCTGCCGGGTCCACCTTGTCCCAGTTGTTGTATTTTCCTACAAAGAGAGCAATCTGTCAGAAAAATCCAGATGGGCTGATTCTGATCTGTTGACTGAGACACGGATTCTATGAGATCTTTCTTAAGTTTAATGTCTACTAACACTGGTGGGCTGGAAGGGCCTTCAATGTTGGCCTAAAATCACAACCTAAACTTAAATTTTCCTCTTTCCATCTGTATTAATTTATTCCAATTCATTTATTTTGTAGCGTTTCTCTTTGCTGCGCTGCTTCCATTACATTTATCTGGTTGCTATATTTTTCGTCCAATCAGATTTCAGCCTTCGTGGGTTGCTATGTCAATCAAATCTGCCCAGAGCCTTTAGAATCAGCAGTGTTGGCTTATATTACTGTAACAATATTACTGAGGAACGTTTTCTTTAACCAATCAGATTTCCGATTTACCCCACAGGACCAGCCATCGGGCCCGCCCCTACGTCAGCATTTTCTCTCCTCTGATTGGTCAGTTAGAGCTAAACGTTTACAGCCAAGTTAAGCTAGCGGTAATCTGTATTTTTGATTCGCTTTTGTTTTTTTTTTTTGTTTTTTTT